TTTTTTTGATGAAAAAGTGCTTCCGGTGAGCTTTCTACCCGGAAAAGCTCACCGGAAGCACTTTTTTACCAAAAAAAGATGGCGGCACCCAGCAACCAGCGGCCCGGTAAGGCTTGTTCTGCGGACCGGTACCGGTCCGCGGACTGGCAGTTGGGGACCCCTGATCTAATGGACTGGGCACAGCAATTTCAGATTGCATTAATGAAGGAGAACGCCCTTTTTCTCATACTGAACCCACCCCAAAAACCATGGTCTATAGAGGTAGATTGTATTCACCATTGGGCGTTTTGCTTAATGCTGAGTTCCCTTGAACCAGCCATATACCACATCATACCCAATGGGTCCACCATCTCTGAGATTTGGGAGAAGATATATAACCTGTTTTATAGCAAAAATAGAAGTACCACTAGCACCTCTAGAGAGTTTCATTCTGCTAGATTGAGACCAGGAGTAAGCATGAGCGAACATTTGCTCAACTTAAACGCCATGAGATCTGATCTGTTACAAAGGGGTGAGACAATCACAGAGGGAAGTTTTATTAGTATTATAATTAATTCCCTCAACTCTAGCTGGGACTATTTTCTTAATCAATTGGATAATCTAAATTATGACAACATTTCACTCAAAACATTATCAGGAAGGCTGGTGGCTGAGGATAATCTCAGAAAGGATCGAGCTTTGCTTCATAAGGAACACAGGGTTGTAAAGAGTTAACTTTATAGAACAGGTAAATGCATTACTAGGGTGTTATACATGTGGTTCGAAAGATCACTTTAAGAAGAATTGTCCTAAGGCCTTTAAAGGCAGTGAACCCATTAAGCATCCCCTGCCATACTATACAAGTTATCAGAGGGAAAGGTCCAACCCTGGACAAAGATATCAAGGTAGACACCCCAGTAGCCAAAGACACAATGTAAACCCAAGACGTAGAAAATCACCAACCCCAAGAAGGAACAGGAGATCCAGACAGGAGAACAATAGGACTGACACTGATTCCATGAATGGGATCATAGACGTAGAACTGAATCTTGGTGTAAACATAAGGGAACAGTGTTGATTAATTGACTCCGGGGCAACAGCACATCCATCTTGCAATAGAGAGCTGTTCACCTCTTTAGACGAGGTGTCGTTTAACATTAAAGTTGCCAACCAAAAATTCATGCAGGTGGTTGGGAAGAGGGAGGTCCACATCCCAGGTCTTGGGAGAATCAAAGAAGTTCTGTTTATACCTGGAATACAATATAATGTCCTATCTGTAATTAAACTAAGCAAAGGTACCAAATTCAAGGTGTTATTTAAGGACAGCACCGTCCAACTTACCAATGATGGCAAGGAGGTAGGGGATGTTATAGTGACCAGTGGGTTATCTTATTTTATACCCATGATAAATACCACCGCACAGATCATAGCCAATTTATCAAATGATGGTGTTAAGAATGGGAAGGAAGAGAGGGAAAAAGATGATAATACCGACAGTGACACAAGTGATGGGGAAATAGAAGGGGAAAGAGATAATGATATTAACAATGTAAGTGTTGAAAATGTTGTAATCAAAATGAATGACTCAAAGCATATTTCAACTGGTAAACCTTTACAAAATTATTGTGCCCATATTTTGCATAGAAAGTTGGGGCATATTGGTTTTCCATTGTTAAAAAGATGTTAAATTGTTCTGAGGGACTCAAAGTAAACAATTGTGAAAATTATTTAGAGTGTTCCATTTGTAAGAGTTCAAAGTCAAAAGAAAAACCTCTACCAAAAAAAATCAAAAAGGAACACCATGCACATTTTTCAGTTGGTACACATGGATCTAGTAGGCCCCTTGAAGCCCTCTATTGGCCACAAAAAGATATTTTCTCACAATTGTCGACGACCATAGTAGATACGGTTTCGTATATACCCTCAAACACAAGGGGGAAACATTCACCAAGTTTAAAGAATTCTATAAGAGGGTAGAAATCCAACATAACATTAAAATCAAACAGATCATGACAGACCACGGTTCTGAATTTCTTTTCAAAGAATTCAGTGACTGGATTAATAAACATGGTTTAATACATTTTACAACTTCGCCATTTTCTGCTTTTCAAAATGGTGTGGCAGAACGCAGGAATGGCGTATTACAGACTATGGTTAGATGCATATTAAAAAATGCCGGCTTAAATTTTTCATATTGGGGGAGAGGCCATCTTATATTCAAACTATACCCTTAAAAGAAGTGTGATACAGAAAAACCCATACAAAATAATGTTTAATCAGAAGCCCACACTAGCACATCTCCATGTTTTTGGGATAACTGCCAACGTACACATACCCAAGCAACTCAGACGAAAAGGAGATAAAGTATCAAAAAAACTCAAATTTGTTGGTTATGAACCAAAAACCAAAGCTTACAGATTCATGGTAGTAATCACAAGATAATCATATCGAGATCAGCAAATTTCCATGAAAACACAAACTAGAGTAAGATCTATTCAAATGAAATAATAATTGGCAAAGACACATTCAAAACTGATCAGAAACAAACACAACTTCACACACACACTACAAAAACAAAACCCAACAGAAATAGCATTAAGGTTAGGGAGTGGAAGGAAGGTCACCACATACTTAAAATCAAAGGTATAGATGAGTACAGTTCAGATGACTCATCGAAAAAAAATATCCCAACTGAAAACATACCCAGGAGATCAATAAGATCTAATAAGGGCAAAATTCCAAATACCTTAAGGGACTATGTGATATCTATTGATACCACCATAACTATACCCAAAAATTATAATAGAGTGGTCAATGTCTGGAATACTCTACCCGACTCTGTAGTTTCTTCCCCAAACCCCAAGAACTTTAACCTTAGACTGTCTACTATTGACCTCACCCCTTTCCTAAGAGGTCTGTAGGGGGCGTGCATAAGCGCACCAACGTGCCTACCGTCCCTGTCCTATTGTTTCTCTTATTCTTCTTTTATTTTTCTTATATGTACCCATTTCATGTATTCACAACTATGTATACACTTATACTTATTATCTTGTAAACAATTGGCAAATCAAATAAATAAATAAATACACGCACTCCCACTGAATGAACAGCAAAAAGAGGCCATGCAGAGGGAGATGGAAAGTATTAAAAAACTAGAAGTTTATACCCCCTCAAAGGTTTCAGAGAACAAAAAAATTATTGGTATGAGGTCGGTATACAAAATAAAACCCTTAGAGGATACAAAAATCTATACAAAGCAAGACTAATGGCACAAGGTTTCTCACAAAAGTTTCCAGACGATTACATAGACACTTACTCACCTACAGTGAGGGCAGAGAGTGTTAAGACAGCCTTAGTCATTGCCTCAATTCTAAATGAACACGTGTATCAATTCAATGTACAAACAGCATACCTACATGCACCATTAGATAAGGAATTATATGTCAGAGCACCACCAGGAATTGACTGTAATGAAGGAAAAACCTGGCTACTCAATAAAAATCTCTATGGTCTGCGACAATCGGGTAAGAGATGGTACGATTGTTTTTCCAAAACTTTAAGACTAATAGGTTTCCCCGCCATATCAGCTGACAAATGTGTATTTATTAAAAGGGAACAAGGTATATGTGAAAAAGTACTTGTGTATGTCGATGATATATTACACATATGTAAAAGTAAATTTAAATGTGATCAATTCGCCAAAAAACTTCAAAAACATTTTTCATTGAAATCTTTGGGAAAAATCGATAAATATTTAGGAGTTCAGATTACCGAATCACATAGTGGTTTCATACTATCACAAAAGGAAAAGATATTAGAATTATTGGAGAAATGCAATATGTCTGATACCAAACCATCATATACCCCCATGCAGACTGACTTCCTAAAAAACATGTTTAATGATGATGAGGTATTTAAGAACAATACAATTTATCGATCTACAATTGGTTCGTTACTTTATATAGCCAATTGGACTAAACCGGACATAGTACTATCAGTCAACTTACTCTCAAGACATGTAAATAACCCAAAAATATACCGCTGGAATGCGATCAAAAGATTATTGAGATATTTGAAACACACCGCTGATGCAGTTTTGTCGCTTAATCCAAATACATCGAGCACACCTAGCCTTTCATGTTATGCAGATGCCGATTGGGCTGGAGATGTCAAAACACGAAAAAGTACTTCAGGGTATGTTATTTTTCTGAATGATAGTCCTATCCACTGGTATACCGGAAAACAAAAACTTGTATCAACTTCAACTATAGAAGCCGATTTTGTTTGTTTATCAAATGCCGCAAATAACTTAATTTGGTTCGACGATTTATTGATGGACTTTTGGAAAGAACCTTCATACCCCATAATCATTCAGGAGGATAATAAAGCAGCAATAGGTATATCCAAGGCCGATGCTATAGGCCACAGATCAAGGCACATCGACATTAAGTACAAGCACGTGAGACAGTTGTCAGAAATTGGATTCATAAAAGCTGTACATTGTGAGACTAAGGAACAAACTGCAGATATTTTGACCAAACCTCTTCCCTCAAAACAACAT